TCCTTGCCCGCCAGTGCTTGCTCTGTCACATCATGCAATGCCTCATGTATGACATTCTGATCCTTAGGACTCTTTTGCATGAAATCCACCAGCTGGTTGAGTAAAACATACTCCACCCCGTTTGCAATAATGACTGAAAGATCTTGGAAGTCTTGCGGGGGAGCTTGCGGTATGTCCTTCAAACGCGACAGCAACAGAATTTCTGCTGCACCGCTCTTCAGCTCATCGTTAGAATCTTCAACAAGCATTCCCCATTTCCTCGCCTGTGTCATAAGCATCTTCTTGAAATCAGCTGCTGTGTATGTTCCGCCCTGCTGCTGCTTTGTCATATCCACGTCCCCTTCAGCAGACATCCCTTCTGTGCACATCCAACCAACCACTTTTCTCAAGCTGTATGCACCGGTATCAGCACTGTCGTCTACACGCAAATCACGCGCCTCTGTGAACCGTGCCAATAGCATCCATGCTCTGAGCGACTCCTCTCCGTTCGCAGCGATGCTTGCATGAATGTTCATTCTGACATCGAAGTAGCTGGGCACTCTCTCCGTTAGTAGTTCAAGCTCCCCGTCGTCATCGTAGTGGATGCCTTCCTCAGCGTATTGCATTACCTTTTTAAGAGCTGTCCTTGCCTGCGCCGCTGACATCGACATGATGGTTGTGCTTTTGTGTATGTGTCTGTAAGTGGAACGACAAAACGATGATTTCAAGCTCCGTGAGGGTTTGTTTAATGTTGTTTGTGTGTCCCTCTGCAGGAAGTATGCGGTCGTGAGACGCTGCGAGTCAGTACACGGACATCATAGCAAGGTTGACTACTGTGTGCCATTTTTTCTTGGAATCAATGACATTAAAATGAATCCGGCACGCAGTAGTCAACTCCTCTCTCCCTGCTCTCACTCTCCACCCAAACCGCTCCCCATTGGTTTGGCAACCGTAGGGGGTGTTCCGCGGCCCACTGACAAGTTCCCCCCAAGCACCCCGCCCCCCCCTTTTCATACGTGTGAAACATTGTACGTATCACAGGGTCACGAACCATTCATTCATAAAGCCATGGAGGGCAGAGTACAACTTACCTAAGATGGAATAGTCCTCCGCTAAGTGTGTGTGTGTGTGTGTGTGTGTGTGTGTGTGTGTGTGTGTGTGTGTGTGTGTGTGTGTGTGTGTGT